CGTCGGAACGAAGTTACGGAAAGTTAATTAACGAACGGAGACGTAACAAAGTATAATGAAGTCTGACGAAGTCTTGATAGTTGTAAGCATGACCAACTATTTCCATGCCAATATTTACGAATTTCTGGTTTTTAAAATCTTTTTAAGTATTAACTTTATCTACCTATAATTTTGTTGATAATACACATTCACGATGAAACCACCCACTGATTTTAATTGGATTTAATTTGAATTACAATCCTAATTGTAAGCTACCACAATAGACAACGTGCAGAACATGGTCGACTGAAAGAGTAGAATTTCACTCACCCAATAAGTAAAGGTTGCCCCTACAGCCAGCGAGAGTAGTCGGACTGACGAATTTCAACAAAAAATAATGCTTCCTTCGTATTCTTGTCAATTCTCATGTACATTTTGTGCGCATAATATATATTTTTTGTATTTGTAATTACATATGTGTGTGTGTGTGTGTGTGCGACAAAAAATATAATAAATAAGCATAGTTAGTAATAAAACCTTTGATTCATACGACAATGGACATAACCACTAAAAATATGCTAGAACCGCCATTATTTTTAATTCAAAATCCTAGAATCTTGTACTGTCATACTAATTTCATATTCAAACTACTAGCTTAATTATAGAATCTTGTACTGTCAAACTGATTTCATATTCAAACTACTAGCTTAATTATAGAATCTTGTACTGTCATACTAATTACATATTCAAACTACTAGCTTAATTATAGAATCTTGTACTGTCAAACTGATTTCATATTCAAACTACAAGCTCCCCATGGTTAAAAAATAAAAAAATGACTTAAACTACTATATCCGGATACGCTGATGTAGGCCATGTAAAGAAACTACGAGATTATCACTATGCTGTAAAATAGACCTTTTAAGTAAGTTACTAGCTACTTATAAGTTATTTCATGGTAGATTATTTTTTTTCCCAAAAAACTGTCAAGTTTCTACATTGCAAGACCAACCATTTAAATAGAGCAGGATCCGGAATCATCAGGGAATTTTCGCATGGATTTAAACAAATTCTAGGATTGAGATTAGATCTTCCATCCAGTTTCCAAAACTTTTTGGAGTTAAAACTTTACCCAAGTAGGTTAGCAAATCAAGACAACCGTTTAGGTTCCTGAATTACATTAGCTTAGCTCCAGACATACTATTCTAGCACACGCTTTAGAACATTTGATACTTTTAAACGGTAATATGTATGCACTAATGTCACATTAAAGTATCTTAACGTCTTATTACTAAATTAATGTATGTGTATTACAATTTAGAGTAGCCATGGAAATGTATTCCACCTGGAGACGAGACGAGCGTATAACAACGTCTCCACCCTTGATGTCCTGGTACGACTGGATATTTCTAGAAACGGTCTTCTTCATGTGATGAGGTCATTTCGTCAGGGTAACTTGGCGGACGTTACAATTCTTCGGGAGAAAGCTGTCAGTATCAAAGGTAAGGGTTGTTTGATATTATGGGTTTTAATCCAGAGTTTGAGGCCTCTGCGTCCCGATATGACTGGATACATCTGTATAATGGTTTTTAATGATGTCATTTAGTCGTGCCTGATGATGTTACAGTTCCTCACGAGAAAGTTGCCAATATCAAAGATAAGGTTGTCACGATCAGAAGCCTATACGATTACCTAAGTCTAATTATTAATTAGCTAGTAATTTGTTTGATAATTGGTGTTTATCCTACGTTTCGGCTACTAATCTGCTGCTGTCTTCATGAAGGTCCCGAGAAGGACTATTTCTATGTTAATAGTGACTGGGATTCGATCTCAGGTTTTATTGAGTGAGCGTCTCGTACATTAGCTACACGACTGGGGTCTCTCCCATTAGAACGTGAATTAACTAGTTATTTGAATGTTTTCTCTAGAGATAGCCAGGTTTTACTGACTTGTATGCTAGGTTAACTGGGTGTATATTATCAGTTAGATAGATGTACAAGGCCTCTTTTATCTTTTTTTTTTTTCATTTTTGGTTCAGTCCTATTATTTTAGTATTATTCCAATCTATCGTATTCTCTAGCATAATGGCATGATAGGGTATTGCAGATAAATGGTATTACCAATCCTTGTATGTATATTATGATCCTAAATTTTATTTTAGTTGGCCTCTTTGTTTCCCTAATATATTGGAGCGTTTCCGCTCTCCAGGGGCCTGGCATGGCCAGGTGGTTAGGGTGCTCGACTTGCAATCTGCGGGTCGCGGGTTCGAACCCCTATCTCACCAAATATGTTCGTCCTTTCAGTCGTGGGAGCATTATAACGTGACGATCAATTTCGCTATTTATTGGTAAAGAGTAGTCCAAGAGTTGGCGGTGGGTGGTGATGACTAGCTGCCTTCCTTCTAGTTTTACGCTCTTAAATTGGGGACGGCTAGTGCAGATAGCTCTCGTGTAGCTTTGGTCGAAATTCAAACCAAACCTCTCTGCAGTGTATGCGCGTGTTAACTGTGATATTATCGTATTCTAGCTCCTGAATACTGTTTTAATTTTATGTTATATACAACACCAACTTTAAACAGGACATATTTCTTAGCAAAGGATGGTTTACACCTTTCGTTCAAAAGAATCTCTTCCTTACCCTGTAATTTACGATACTTTATCACTAACTATATTATCCATCGCTTACAAACAACCACTGAACAATCCAACCTAGATCCATCAAATACTCCTAGCCATAGATCTTCAACCTACTCTATTCTCCGTATCCAATCTAGAAAGCCTCCTCAATCCATAGAGCATACCTCTGTACGCTACATGTCCAATACATTTCCAAACCTCATTTCTATCACAGTTTCTCCCGGAACTAGATATGCCCATTCTTTTAAATGTTGCACTTATGTGGGAGTTACGGCTTTTACTCCTGTTTCTAGAAACTTCTCCCTAAGCTCTAAACCTGACACACAACCCAATAATCCCGCCCCATTCACAAACTCTGATACTACCGTGAGTCACACTTCTACACCTACAAAGCTCTTTTCTACCATTACGTCCCCTTCTCCTAAATGTAGTAGTTATAGAGACTTTTTTTCTTCCATACGCAGAATCTTCTACAACCTTTGAAAGAAATCTTCATCCTTCACCCGATAACCTTTCACAACACCCTAAACCTGACGACTTTCTAAATCTAACAGGCCCCGAACCTTCTCCCTGTCACAAAGCAAAACCATGTATTCTCCTTGAAATAAACGCTTCCTCCAAAACAGCTGCCCAAGTGCACTCTGATCTAAAATCTAACAAGACTTTCATACAACTCAGAAAACTGAATGAAAAAAGACTGAGGTACATGCACCATGCTGATGTGCTAGAACAGCATTTACATAATCAAACTATACCTAAATCCTTTAATCTAAATCCACCAATAGCCATTGGAGCCAATGACAAACTGTTTTGTTCGCAATGGAAGAAAATCCTTCATTCCACCTCACTTACGAAACTCACACAAGACTTTTGAAAATCCACAATAGACAATCTAGTAAAGAACATTGCTGCTATAAATTCAGAGGACACAATTTGTCCTATTGAACAACAGAACTTTGATGCATTTATTAACAAAATAAAGAATACTTTTTAAATTGACGCGAAAAACAACAATAAAAAAATATATCATGATCTTTCACATAAGAATAAAGGTTTCTCCCATCTAAACCGTAATGTCTGTTTACAACAAAATACCAACTTTAAACAGACTCATACTAATACTATCTGCGAGTCACTGATTAATAACTCCAACAATGTAAACACGTACATTGAGCTGTCTCCCGAAATATGTTCTACTTCTGACTCCACTAACTTAGTCACTTCTGCATCCGATAGGCCCAAACCCAAGAACACTTCCAATGTCTCCAATCTGTCCTATAAAATAGTAACTGAAACTCAACGTAAACTTCTCAATAAAGGTCTTAATTGTTTTCGTACCTCCAGCTTTGAAGTTATTTCCGACCTACAAGGATGTTAAGTACTTAGAGTTAGATTGTGGATATCGAATATTAATCTTTGTCATGGTTAGTAGCCTACAGGAGCTACTTAGTCTGATTCATAATACGTATTTTGTTTATTACTACACAATAATTACTAACTATTTTATATCTGTGTTTCGTCTGCTAATTTGCTGCCATCTTCAGGGAATTCCTAAGAAGGAGTGGACTCCGAATATTTTTGATACAAAGACTTGTGTACTATCCATTTGTCTGGATTCCTCCCTATTAGGATTTGATACAATTAACTTATTTGGATGCGTTCAAGAGAGGTATATAATTTCTACTGATTTCTATGTTACGTTAACTGTTTTCAGTGTGTAGTTCATATCCCATTATCACCAGGATATTCTACATTGAAGTTAAAAATACAGAGAGATGAAACTTAAGACATTACATCTGAGCATCTAGCCTATATATTCAACATATTGGCTATGTAAAAGTCAAGTCAGGTCCATGACCATTCCGATCGTTGGGGCACCTTTGATTTCCCTGCTCTCCTCCATTCTACATATTCAATCGCTGAGTCCTCTACTTTATGTCTGTCATCCACTTTGTTTTGGTTTGTCCTATAGGATAGTATTAGCGAGGGTGCCTGGTTTTCTTGCCAAGCTGTAGTTTACTTCTTCTCATAGTTTTTGTTAACGGTTCACAGGTGCCAGTTATTTGTACAATGTCCTTTCTAACTGACTTGTTTGTTCTGTGCGTGTTATACGGAATGCGCAAAAGTCTTCCGAGTCGTCTCATTTCGAAAGTTTTTACTCTATTTTCCAATATGTCTTTAAGGATACATGCGTGACGTCCTTATAGTGTTGTCAAGGTAACTACAGCACGGAAAAGATGAAATTTTGTTTTTAATGTGATGTCCTTACTTATACAGATTTCCTTGAGTTTCGTAAGTTGTCCTGTGGCTGGTTATTACTTCCTTTTTTTTTATATTGTGTATTCTCTGATGTCCGTTTCAAGATATTTAAAACTGCTGGCTTTCTAATATCCTTCACCAGCTTTGATATCCTGCAGTGTTGCACGATCAATGCTAATGCTAAAAGTACTCATCACGTTATTCTTATCTTCATACCATATTCTTAGCTATATCAAAAAACTTCGTTAAAATTCAATATTTGCTTCTATTTCATTCTGAAAGTATTAATGTCCCGCTTGTTAACTGTCAACGTCTGTTTCTACTCGCCCTGTAGAGGTTTCCACAGATACAAGTATTATTCTTATTTGACCCCCCCCCCCACACACTCACACCCACATTCCCACGCCCCCCCCCCGTTTCAACGAACGT